CGTGCATGGCTGTTCAAGTGGTGTTACCAACAAAGAAAACAGTTACGATTATTATTTCAATTGAATTCATAATTCGAAGCGCTTTTTCTTCTTGATGCGCTAATACAATCAGTATCGAAGACCATCCACTGTTGCAACTGAAAATACTTTCTATGTTTTTTTTATATTGCATATTCAAAGGGTTGATAGCCTTTGGCAATGAAATAATAATATGCATCACTCATGACTTCAGGCAATACACAGCCTTGTGATAAATCATTTCAATTTCTTAGCAAATTATGTAGTCTGTCAAGCTCTCGACGTGCTGCTGTTTACATAGGACAGAAGTCGTTATAGTTTTGTGTATTTTTATATTCATTTTACATGTTTTTATATTTTAATTATTTCATGTTCATATATTAATATTTTATTGTAAAAATAAGCTATGCAAATTGCAACTCAATAAATAAGTTGTTTACAAAAATAGATTTTGTCACAAAATATGTTTTAGGAAAGTACGAACAAGAGTTCAAGGAACAATTGATCAATTTGACTGAATGCAATACTTTAATTACCTTTAATGTTTAAAAAATAATCAATTGTATTGATTATTATTGCAAATTATTAGAAATAATATTACATTGATTTTTTTGACAGATCATCCTATTAGAATTCGAAAATTTTTCATGTCTGAAAATACAAAACCCGGTGACCTATATTTTCATTTTAATGAAGAAGTAAGATCAGTAACGAAAGCCGAAGGATGAAAGAGATTCTGGCGCGATACCCTAAAATCCGACAACAGAAGTGTTGAAATGCAAGGACATTTAAATGTTGTCACTTGGCAACTAGGATAGCCAGAAAAAATAAAATAAATACAAATAATAATGATCCAATTTACATTCCTTTTCGCAAATTGAAAAAACATTCTTCTGGATTCAAATTAATTTCTTTCTAAACTTTTCTACTTAAATGCCAGCTATTTTTAAACGTAAATGTGTAGGTAGACTATTTAGCAGTTGATATTCCTAATTATGAATTAAATAAAGCAACAATTTCTCAACTGTAATTTTTTGTTCATATTTCCCTAGTTTAGGTAGCGATAACGCATATTTTCTAGTCCGAAATATTGACTATGCGAAGTATTTCTGACAATGTGAGGGAAGTTCGCATTCAAGATCTTTTGTGCCGGGACTTTCCTGGAATCCGCCCACAATAGAGGCGAGCACATTCTCAGCGCAGTCTGCATTTCTGAAATGCCGAAACATCCATTCATACTAGTTAAGAGAGCATACATATAGTGTTTGGGGCGTATCGCAATAATTATTAATAGCGTAACAAACACAATGCCATAGTAAATATAATATTAGCAGATTATGTCAGAGTTAAAATTATTACGAAAACGTCTTTGGCTCCATTTGTAACTAATCTCGCGGCTGGATGCCGCTGCAAATTGAAACGCATCAAAAGCACTTTTACATTCCTTTCGAATGCCCTTTCCAAATGACATGCCAATCTGCCGTTCACTCGCCTGATAACCATTTTCTGCATAACATCTGTGTTTGACGTTTGAAAATACATACAATTTCAATAATAATTCCAATTTGGATTATATAAATCAATGCTCCCCAACCTTTTTATCGCCGCGGACGTTTGATAATTTTACCGCCGCCCGCTGAAGGAGGAACGTGATTTAACATTTTAACTCCCTAGAATGCTAAATCAATGGGCTTGTTTCTTTGCAACGAGACGGTTCCATCTGGGGGTTTGTGCGGCCCGAGCACAGATCAGGCGTTGGTGACCACTGATATAAATACACAAACAATTAAGTTTAAGTATTAATAAACATGTATTGTATATTATATAAACATTTCCACCCAATTTGATTTATTTAAAATATTTGTACAAACAGTACACAACGGATTTATCTAGAGATAAAAGCAATTTTGATATGGTTTTCGTCGTATTTTCGACATATTTCCAGTGGTTTCTATAAGCCACTAGTATATACAGTGTTAATATGTTATGGTTTACTCTTTAACCGCTGTTTTCCTGTACAGCATTTCTCAATCTAAGATAATCAATTTTACTATTCATCTACTCGTAAATAGATTAGAAATTCAATCATATAAACTAAATTTAGGTGCAAACAATAGTGTAATTAATAGTGGCGATATCAGTGAATACAAATTCCATTTTTTTATAAAGTAAATATTTTAAAATTAAGTAAATTCTAAAAAGAAATGTAATTATTGTAACAGTCAATAGCTTCGACGAGTTGAAATTCTTCTCAAATTGCAGGTGAAAATATAAAGGATAAATAAATAATTTTCGACCAGTTGAAATATTCTGCATGCTGGCAATAATTTTTATAAGAATGAAACCAGTTCTGCCCTGGTGCTACATTTAAAGGCAATATTGGCAATGTAAATTGTATTTTAGTTGTCATACGTGAACGTAAAAATGTAGAACCACATTTTCAAGGTAAAATTGTAAACGAGTTCCGCTGCTAATAATAATTAATAACCAGATTTATCTATCCATCCGTGTGGCTGACTGCAAGACTGTTCGTCTTACTTTCAGTATGGATTAATACTTTAATTACCGGTACATAATGTAATAGACCGTTTCAATGAAATGCGGAACGTTCATTTGCCAAGTGTGAAAGTTGTAGTGATTCATATTCACCAAACTAATTAGCCAATTAATGTAAAAATGCGAATCTTCTACAAAAAAAAATGTAAATGCACATATAAACTTGTATCGGTATCAGTTCATTGTAGCGAAGGTATTCTAATCTTATCTAAAAAGAGAAACGTATTAAACTTATTATCACATCACCGAAAGCAAATATATGCATAATGATTCCAAATTCGTCATAGATGTTATGGGTTCATGATGAAGTGGGCCAATACCATAACAGTTTTCTTACTTACCTAATATGAACAAACAAATGATAATTAGTCTAACGTTAGTTTACATTTGGCCGGACAATGTAAAAAAAACCGCCTTGAATACATAATACAACTCACATTTAAAATACGATTTACAGATTGATTTAAAACGGATTCATTAATTAAAGCAGATATATTTTCTGGTTTACAATCTACCAGAAGAGATGTGCTATATACAAAAACATTTTGATTCCTAAAAAAAATGTATCCTTATTATTAATATTCAAAACAAATAATTAACAATATCATTAACTTGATACAAGCTCAACCATTATTTCTAACTATGATCAATTTGAATGTATTTTTTAGTATAACCTCTAATATAGGTCAGTTAAGGTTATATATCGATCTGCGATTCATTCAGGTGGTCGGGTTACGTTATACAAAATTACTTTATTTTGAAGGCATCATCGCTATTCGTGATTGTTTATCCAAATGTATATACAACGTACTTAATGTTTCAAACGAAAATTAAATAAAAACATTACAACATTTTAAGAAGCGTCCATGAAAAAAAATAGTTTGCAGAGTTAAAAGCAAATGTATATTTAGCAAGAAATATAAATTTAAATATAGCTTAAATATTGAAGTTGTTATATGTAATAAAAACTTTTCACGATATTATATCGACAAAAATAGATTTACGTTAGAAATAAACTTACATATTTGAAAAGTATGTAATATAATTAATAGTGAAACGTGTAGTAAATTGCAGGAACTTTGTTAATAACTAATGAGTAACGTAATACAGGAAATATACATATATATGTTAAGCAAATCGTTCGAGCAAACAATAAACGCTTTCCATCGGAAATTCCTTTGCATCATTCCGTTTCATTTGAAGATAAAATGTAATGATAATTAATTATACATTGATACCATTTTCCGTTTCTAAAGAAAAAATAACATTCATTACGTATAGAACGTTTCTCGAAAACGAGAGAGAACATTGCTAAACATAATCTAATTAACATGAATCATTCAACTCTATGATAACCGATTATGTTTCTGAAAAATAATCATGTTTTAACTACAGATGATTCACTTGACTTTAAGATAACTTATTTTATAATATATTTGAAACTTTCTAATCCAATTTCTTGAATTATTAAAAAAGTAGATATTAATATAATATATAATTTTATAGTAAAATTACTCACGGTTCAGCTTCTATGCTCTTCAGTTTGGCAACATAGTTGGATGGTATGTATCCTTCTAATTTTGAACGTTTGCTTCGTGCCAGCCACCAATCACCCTGTGTGTCATTTAAAATCTCAAGATGTTCCCCTTTCCGGAAACTTAGATCCTCATCAGTCCTAGCATCATAGTCATACAAGGCAACAAAGATCTTGGAGTTAGGTGGGTCCGGTTCAGAGGGATTGACCAAGTTCTGGCGATGATTGGGCAGCTCAGGAGATGGACTAATGACTGTATTTGATGGAGGGATGGGTATATTGTCTGAATTAGGATTCTGTCTAATGATATCTCTCTCATCCCTATCTGACTGACTGCTGAAGCAATTTCCCATTTTGGTAAACACTGATTTTCGATCTCGAAATCTACTATTAAGTCAGCTTTTTTAAACCGCGCGCCTTAGCTAACACATTTATTCACATTGATGAAGGGACACTGCTTCAATTTATTAACACTTCACTATAATTACTATCATAGATAGTGATATATCAAAGAGGAACACAACCTCTCTAGACGTCAACCTCAATACAACTAAAGTGAAGTGTGAAGTTTGCCGCTCCAGTGTTGCCATTAGGGAGTAAAAGCCGCATTGCCAAGATTAGAAAGATTACTTAACAGTATTTCACTAAAATATATTCAATTATTCAAAATCTATTTATTTGTATTTTATATAATCTAAAAGATAATGTTTATTTTACAATTATTAATAGCAACTTTACTCAGATAACGTCTTTTCTTATTGATTTTTTTAGCAAAGAACATTTGTTTCAAAGAGAAATATCAATTAGCTTTTACAATATTTCAATTCAATTGAATAATTGTTAATATATTTTGTTTTACGTTTATTTATAATAATGTTATAAACGATGTTGCATTTGAGTCGATTTTTGTCAGCTGTTCTGTCAAAAATATCAATAACATTCGATACCTTGTGTTTGGTCCAGCTGAGATGATTTTATCTAGAATTTTAACAAGGAATATAGTTGAGTTGACGAACGCTCGTAACCGGCTATTCTCCAAAGCAGTAATACAACCCCTAAAAGATGTCAAAGCCGAACTTTTGATCACGGATAAATGTGCAGATAGATTGAAATCTGTATCTGATGGAGTAAGCTTCCTAAGGGTGACTGTTGAAGGAGGTGGATGTTCTGGATTCCAATACAAATTTGATTTAGATTCAGACATCAAGGAGGATGATAAGTATGGAGAGTGTGAAGATATAATAGGTTAAAAACTGTAATGGACTTCAATTTTTAGGATCTTTGAGAAGGATGGTGCTAAAGTTGTAATTGATGAGACATCCTTGGAATATGTCAAAGGAGCTACAGTAGATTACCAGGAAGAGTTGATCAGAGCAGCTTTCAAGATAGTCAATAATCCTCTAGCAGAACAGGGATGCTCGTGTGGTGCTTCATTTGCAGTACGATTGGATTGAAGGACTTTATAATTCCACTTTTTTTGTTCTATTGGGTTGTGTTGCTGGACAACCATAGTTTGAATGTTATTGTTTACCTTTTCCAAAAGGTGGCTGTAGAATTATTTAATTTAAATGAATTACTCCTAGAATGAAAGTACAAGTAGAACACATTGTTATATTATTTATTTAACATGATTTGCTTAGAGAATAAATGGTAAATCTAAAAGTAACGTTTTATTGGTATCCTTTATAAATATATTTTATAAATAGTTTTCATGAAATTTAATTAAATTACGACAACTTATTACCTATACTGCAAAGATGTGGTTGAGGTTGAATTATTTCTTTGCGTTTAACTTATGTTTAAGCATTTCAATTTCATCACATTGTTTAGTAATTTTTTCATTTTGCGCTGCAAAATGTTCCGTCATCGCGTCGAACTGCATTTTGTAGTTCTCGCTTGTTGTATGCAGTTCTTCGTTCGTTTTCTCTAAGATACTCTCAGAAGAATTCTTCTCAAGTATAGCATTCTCCAAGCGCGCAATTAAAGCCTCGTTGTCTGCGTGCAGACTGTTTGCTTCTGACTGACATAACAGTTTTAATTCCAACAGGTTCCTAATTTGAGATTCGTAATATTCGGTAAGTTCGCTATTTGCGTTTGGACGTGATCTCAATGCTTCGCATTCCATCTTCCAACGCTCTGCTTCCTGTTTAACATGTGTTATCTAAAATATCGTTACAAGTAATTTCATTGATTAGCAAACAATATCAACAGACTTACAGAATTCTCATTGTTATTCCTACATTTATCACAATCTTTAACTTTATTAATATTTTTAATCCCTGCGTTTTTACTAATCTCCTTCTCCATTTTCTCAACTTCAACTTTGTAATTCTCACACTTTGCATTGAGCTCTGTTTCCAATTTCACAAAACTCTCCCTCATCCACTCTAAATTATCTTTATAATTCATCAACTCCAAGTCCTTATCAGCCATCTAAAACTTTCACTTTTAATATGTATTTGAAATTTATCCTTATATAATGGATATCTTACAGTACTAGCAAGTTCAGCATTCTCTATGATCTTTTTCTGTAATTCCTCATCAATGATGCTAAAGTTTGATTGATGTGTGGAGTTCTCTGAACCTTTAATTTTATTCTTTTTTCCTTGATTACCCTGCAGGTCTTGCTGAAGGACTGATATTCTTTTTGTTAATTGCTCATTGCGGAATGTAAGGCTCTCCATCTCCTGATCATGTTTCCGAATTTTCTGCTCTTGCTCCTTGATAATTTCCTTTAAATTAAGTATAGTCGCCTGCTCATCCAACACCGCCTTCCTCAAAACTGTAGCCTGAGAACGAACCTACGGACACATAGTACATACAAAAAGGGGGAGTGTATTTTCAAAGCAGTTTACATACTTTGGAGTATTCTGTTGCGAGCTTTTGATATTTTCCTTCCAATTCTGATTTATCCATTGCGTACGAAATCTTTAGACATTTAATTACGATCTAGTTGGGTATGAATTTCAGAATAATAATCACAAATTAAGGTTATCCATTTTGACGTTTATTAACACTTCCGAAAGACAACCATATGATCTGAATATAGGCAAACGTATATACATATATATACAGAGTGTCTCATGATGCAACTATAAAGTTTGTCGATTACCGTCGTAAGAATGAGCAAAGCGCTCCGTATTTATATCAATTGCTTTAATTTCGTAGGAAACCAAAATATCATTTAAAGCAGTGTGTTTCAACTTGTGAAAATTTTTATCAGTCCATGATTTGGTTCATATTTTTTATGGAGAGTGTAATTATATAATATTAAATTATTTACTAAATACTATGTAGATCAACAGGTTATAGTCATAAGTATTGACAAAAATCTAATTTCATATTTTAATTATATATTTGAGATTCTTTGTCTGTTCTTTTGTAAATTTTACTTTTCGTCTATCCTAAAGGTTGTTTAATCTCCACACCAGAAAACAATGTATAATACCGAAAAGTAATTTTTATTAATACACAGACAATTACATTTATAGTCTATAGTATTTTCATTTTGTAGGTACGAGGAAAAGTTAATATTTATTATATAAACATATACATCATTATAAAGGAATCTCTACCATGATCCCAGTACGATACACTTCGATACTCGTTACTCGTATACCTTTACTCCGAATTCAAGTCCTTATTATAAACACTTAATGATCACTACACGTACAATCGTAATAGATCATCTTTTTCATATAAAGAAATGCATAGGATTTTGTTTATAATAAACAAATCCACCAAGGCCGAATCCCGTGGGGACACTTAATCATTAATATATACAAAGCCCTACTCCCAATCACAACCCGTATTAATAAGAATTAACTTTGTATGTAGAATAAGTATTTAGAATTAGTCTCCATAAAACCTTAATATGATGAGCATAGTATTAGTCAATCTTTTAAAGTATCTACATTGTCTGACCACAAGAGTGCGATAATTATAATAAACTTGTTTAAAACCAATTGAACTATTTAACTAAGACTCCACAACGACAACACCAGACAATATTCCACTGTGTCCAGAATTCCATCCCTGGGACACGACAAAAGGCTTACATGGAGATAAAGCCGCGGGCATCAGCGATTGTGTTTAGTTTGTTATATAAACATAATCCAAGAGTATTTGATCAATGTTACATACATTTAGGAGATTAAATTGGTCTTTTTATAAATATAGTGTATATCATTTTTTATTACTATTATCAAATAATATGCTGTGATGCATAAAAGTGCTCAATTTTGTAGACTGGGAGCGTAGCGCACTCCTGTAATTCATGCGATTGGAAGGTCGGGTTTAGAGGATGGTTTGAGGTCGGGAGTCCTGGTGCAGGGTGTTTCCACGTCGACCAGGTGTCCACACTAAGCTCGGCGTCGATATGGGCACCCCGGAGGAGTCTGGGGTAGCCAGGTTGGCTAAGGAGAGGCGAACCGGGCCAGGGGAGAAATCCAGCAGCCAAAAGTCTCCGCGTTGTGCAGTAGTGGGATCGCGCCCGGGAGTGGAAGCCCTGTAACAGCCTGACCAATACAATCAGACCTAATCCTTTTTACACTCGCAAACCCTTTTCCTAACCAAATTTTATCTACTTCAGTTATAATTTATACGAACAATTGCAATAACATTAGTTAAATTGTACTGCAGTTTATATATATGCAACTCTTTGTACATGCCTGCAGTTCTTATATAAGTTTTGTCTAATGTAGGTTCCAATTGGATTACAATAACATTATGTAAAATTTACTAAAGTCCATATATATGCAACTCTTTGTACATGTTTCCAAACTATGTTATTACACCCCAGTTAAAAAATCCAATCTTAGCAACTTCCAGTTATGAAAATTACATTGCTGTTAAACTTTTCATCATCTTTTGCTTTAATTTGATATTCATATTGGTAAAAAAACAGAATTGACATTTTTGTTAATTCGTATATATAGATTAAAATTTACACTTTATATCACTAATAATTAATTAAAAATAAGAAAAGTTCTGTTTTCTTATTTGGTCATGAATTTAGCTTATTTAATAATTGTTTGAAATCATAAATAAAATAATGCTGTTTTAAAACAATAGCAATAAATAATTTCAAAAACAATATGTTTTGTTAATTTCATTCAAATATTAAATAAAATTTTAATAGATTATTATATAATTTTTGTTTTATTTTCATTTTGGTCGAACATTAAGTTGGACACTCAAAAAATTGAGATTAGACTCATTTGAGTTGTTCCCCTCCACGGAAATCTTTAGTAAAAGGCGAAAGATTTATTCGCTTTGAAGGGAAACCAGAGTACATGAAATAAATTTAAAATTAATTATGGCTACAACCGATATGCTTAACGTGCTTCGAGAACTTTAGTACGCGACATCTGTTTATAGCAACACTAACTATATGCGTACATAAAAACCTTTATCTACAATTACGTAATAAATATTGATAATATATATAATTGTAAAATAGATTAAACTAATGTAATTACATTTACTATGAAACTATTCTTGTATTATTTATTGTTACCAACTGATTTTTGTTTCTATTTATATATTTTTATATATGTTTATGTGCACTTCACTTTTCAATACCTGAATAGTATTGGAAAGTGTAGAATTCAATAATTATGCAAAATAACACACTTATTATCCAATCATAATTGTTAATTTTCTTCAGAAAGAAAATTGGTTCGCGATATAAATTATTAATACACTTTCTCTGTGTTTCTCATCAACGAGAAAATTAAAAGTGTTTAAATTATATTAATTATTACTATTATCACTGTTATCGTTTGTTTTTGATTGTTTGCTTTTGTTTAATTTCATTCCCAAGCTCTGCAAACTTGATTTCGATACACCTACAAACGATGATTAATTTTAATTTCAAAAATGTAAAAAAGTAAAGTAAAATAAAACCATTACTCGCGTGGCGTCTTATAGACTCTGCAAAGAATATTTTGCTGTTAATCCTTCAACGCATTACTCTAAAATAGAGTTATGTACTTTTACAAATCGTCAGTCAATATAATTAAGGTACAATTTAATACATTTATTTACGATTAAATGTATTCCACTCAATCGAGTTAATTAGACTAAAGTATAATTTTGAGTTTCGAAAAATATTATATTTAAATATTTATTTAAAGCGTTAATTCAGGATATATAAAAATGAAACGTAATTTGAGTCACGCTTTCAGTCATTTTCTACAGCTCCAGGATTTCCGGTTTCTTCATTATATTCGCAGCATTTTGCACCATGTTAATTTTTATACATTACAGAAATAAAAGACTAATATAACAATGGAGAACAATAGTGCTTTCTAATATTAATTAAACAATTGTTGGTGATATCGCGTTTTTCTCAATCTTAATAAGTTTTTCATGTAACAACATTCGTTATTATAAAGTGCAGAATCCTTATGATTTTTACTATTTAGATCATTTCTCTTTAACCTCTGTGCATTGATAAGATTGTGACATTAGCAAATAATAATTCATACAGCTATGTTGATGGAATGATGGAATATACATCAGGTGCAGAATAATAAGCTATAACAGTTTCTTTTGCGTACCTATCCAAGCCTGATACACCTGGGTATTTATGGTGAAAGGATTGCAATTCACCAAGGTTTGGTGAAGTTTATTTTCTGATTTTATAAGAAAAACAGTGATTAATCTTTTCATTAGATCATTCATATCGTATAACGTGGATTCTGATCTGTAAAAAATAACCAAAATATACCTGGATATATGAATGATTCATATGCGATGTTCACAAAGAAATGTTGTTTTCGGCTGTCCCCGTAGTAAAACTCATCTAAATATTACTAAATATAATTAATATAGTTTTATTAAAGTGGAATTGTACTTGTAAGAACCTCTATTAAGAACATATTTTTTTGAACACAAAAATATGGCAGTATTATATTAATTGCTATATAAATACTCGAATAAAAACATAATTACGATCATTAAATAACTACTTAATTATTGTATGTTAAAGAATGTTACCTTCTTCGTCAATAAACAGGATGCGATCATGGATGAAACATAAACAGTGACTCAAGACATTCCAATTCGTAAACCATCATTCAAACTCTATCAAAAATAACGTGTATAAGCAGTGGCGTAGCTGGTTCCACGAATGTGGGCATTGGATTACGTCATCATCAAATTCAGTGGTTTCCAAACTTTATGTTACTTCCCCTGTTTTAAAAAATATGTGATACGAGTAGTTTATGAAAATTGTTATTCTAGTAAATTTTTCGCTATGAATTAGTGATTCCCAAACATGATGTTATAGTTACGAAATGTGAATTCGCCAGGTAAATTTATTTATAAAGATAGAAATTGTATTGTGTAAACCTGCAAAGATAAGATAAAAACAACTGCGTTTTAGTTGCAACTGCAAATATAAGAAAGATTTGTCTTTTTATTGAATACTTGCACAAAACACCTGCGCATAAATTTAACATCTGCACAAAACACCTGCGTGGACACCTGTGTTTTAATTGAATACCTGTACAAAACACCTACAAGAACACCTGAGGAACACCTATTCATATTCTCTTAGAATATTCATCAAGTAAAACATTTAAATTAAATCCTAAACTTTCCTCTAAACTTTCCACTACAATACATATTGCGATTGGCGTAATGCGTCGAAAGGACGCAGCTAAATGGAAGAGGCTAAATGGAGGGAGGTAGCAGGCGGAAGAAAAAAAAAAAAAGGAAATTTTATTAATACTTTGAATTTAATTTTCTCACAAAAAAATATATTTCAAACTACGCCACTGTGTATCAGTACAAATTAAACGGAAATTACTAAACACCTGAACTATTGTCGAAGTTTTAGAATGCATTCAACGCAAAACAAATACAATTATCTGTAATTAGATGTAGTAACATCTTTCAATTTAATTACAAACGATCGAGGTTTCTTAATCCGCAAGAAACTAATTGCCATTCAACTGAGATTAATATAATAATCCGCTTTCGACGTAATTTCCCTTCATTTCCCATAAGCGAAGTGAAAACAATTGTAAATGGAATAGAAAACTGGAATCACTCTATTTTTTTTTAACCGGCGCTCTGTTACAGTAAGGCGCGCAAACCAAATACGATTGTTATCGGAGAGAAATATTTGAAAAATGCAGTTTTTTCCGGTAAATGAAAGTTTATTTTCAACGTGTCGAAGTCCAGAATAAGTGTTCTTTCTTATGGTTATCCTCAATACGAAAGGTACGCAGTATTCGCACCGTCTATTAGCCTCAATTACAATTCCATTTTATAAGTTCGACTTTTGGTTATACCATTGTTATCGTCTATAGATTACTCGTAGTATCTAGGACACCGTAACACTTAATTTTTCCTTTTAGTTTGTATTCGGCATATCTTAAACTTATTTTTTCATATTTCAAATCAGGTTCATTAAAAAAAATCATGTATAATTACTTATATCAGTTATATACAGGGGTGGCCCAATTCAACTGCAACTTTTCAGAACGCTGTATTGTTTTTATTTGAAATTGGATTTTATTGAACCACAAGCAAAAAACAATTACATTTTTTGAATCAATTTCAAATTTTCGATATGCTCATGGCGCGCGAACTATAGCTCTAAGTTGGTCGACAATGTGAACCTACGGAATCTTCCTCTATTCACGAAGAGAGGCTTTCTTGAACACATTAACACTCTGGTGTTTTTTAGTACTGACATTGGTCTGTAAAATGACCCATACCGAAAAGTCGAGCGGATATACATCTAGTCACCGTGGAAGCAACTGTTCGGTCGAAATAAAGTGTGGTACGATGTCTCTCAGCCATTATTGGTTTGTGTGATGATGCAAAATCTACTTGAAACGTCCACTCTTTCTGACTAAAATGTTTCCAAAACTTTACCTTCCAAAACATTAACCTTGACGTCAGGGTCCAAAAACTCCAACGGAGAGCGACTATCAACCGTCACATCTTCCAAAACTACCACAAACGATGATACTTGACTTATTGTGTCCATTCAAATTTTTCTCATCAGACAAGACGATATTTGGCAATTGGGTGTGTTCGTGTATGCTCAACAGATCCTTCGCTCTTCGAAACTAGTTTTTTTTTTAGATCTTGTCCATTTTGGAACTTGTAAGGCTTTACTTTGAGTTCGATTTTGAGTATTTGTTGCATGGTTATTTTCGACATATTCAGCCTTAAGTTTCTGAACCACTTCTACCAAAGATATAGTTATTTTCCGACCACCAAAATAGTATTTTGTAACACTACTAGCTTCGTTATAACGTGCTATGTTTCGAGATACTAAAGATATATTAACATTAAGGTGTTCGAGGACTCTAACAATAGCCACTTTTGGTTTTCCGCTCAAATATTGGGCTATCACACTATTACTTTTGAATTCCATAGCTGATAACTTTTTTCCAAAAAACTGAGATGCAAATGCTTCCGCAAGCTTGTAAATAATAAAATCAGCTATCATTAGGCGAAATATGGACACAATATTGCCAACGGTTCGAGAGTTATAGCAGTTTTAAGTTGGTAGCAGTTCAATTGGGCCACTCTGTACAAATATTTTGTTACACACTTGAATCTACAAATAACAGAAAATTGAAAGCCTACTAACATTTAATTGACCAATAAAGTGAATTCTATCGACAGGAAAAGATTATCGTTTCCTTAATAATTATATACGGATCATTTATTTAGTGAAATCATAACATTATTGTAACTAATATTAATATCTCAACGATGTTAGACATCCACAGAACAATGTTAAGTGGAAGACATTCCAAAACCATTATGCGTGTATTACTTTCTATAACACTTTCATAAAGGACACACATAGTGTTAATTCGATGCTCTTCCTTATACAGCAGTAATTAAAAATCATGAATGAATAATTCAAAATTAGAAAACGTTTATTTTTATGAATATCCATTAACTATAGATATCCATTTATTATGTACGCTTCAGCAAGCAGTGTTTGTTGAAAATAAAGAAAATGTGAATTGTGATTATAAATAACATATCAGCTGCACACAACACTCGGATAACATCATTAGATTTACGCAACTGAGTATCATTATTATAAAAGTAGCTTACGTCTTATTACTTAAGTACTACCGCCATTTCGAAGGATTGTGGCGGAATTCCGTTTTAAATGTTGTATCTAATGAGATGGTTTTGCTCAGTTGCATGCACTCATAGTGAATAATCTACGCCAGGTAATTCGAGATAATGCAGGCAGCGTAAAATACAAACAAATAAACAGTTGCAAACCATTTGCATGTTATGGGAATGGTCAGTAACATTCAGTATGGAAAATGTTGCGTGCAATTAGGTCAATTGCACTTAACGATACTAATATTTTTGTAAATTCTCAGATTCGTTTTGAAACTATAACTGATTTGTTTATAACTACGTAATTTATACATTATTGTACAGAAAGGTTAAAATGAATTTGATTTTCACAGAGCTCCTTGAAATAATATTTAAAAATACTTTATGATACTCCATAATATTTGGGTGAAGTAAAAAGTTCTGAACAATTTGTCCCATACATCGAACTTCTTCTTGAGATCAGCCTTATGCAAATGGTCCAAACGGTTTTCTGAAGATTAGCCTTCAGTTCCTGGGCAATGAAATAAGTGCTCGCATGTCGGTCCAACTCGACGATTTCCATGATTTTATCAACAATTTCGACGATTGGCCTACCAGAAATGTCTCTTCTTTGACGGAACGGAAGCGTTGGAACCAACGCTTTGCTGTTGCATTCGATACTGTAATAGTTCCATAAACAATACACATTTTTTGGTCGCCTGCTCCGCTTTTCCTCTTGGTCGTAGTGGTTCTGAAGAATGTATCGAATTTTCTCTTCTGTTACCTCAATTATGAAACATTCTAACACACAACTGGATTCACTAAACACAAAACTGTCAAAAAACTTTTTTAAAGCATTATGTCACCTTTAAATCGCAGTATAGAATGACAAGATGCAACGTATACATCGTGAGATATGGCTCACTAACTTTTTACTTCACCTAATATTTAAAATTTATAAATAATTTTTGTAGATTTGTTTTTAAACTATAAAAGTTTACAGTCGTTATCTAAAAAAGAGATGATAAATGTAGGTTAGAAATAGAAAAGCAAGAAGAAGTTATTATTAAAATAGGTACATTTTCAATAAATATTTAAATTTAAAATTATAGTACTACGAAAATTACCAAATTATCAGTTTTTTTTTCATAAAGAGTACACATTATTATTGATTCATAAGATTATTCTATTCTGAAGAAGTAAGATTTCTAAGTTAATATTTCCAAGCATTGAGAATGTTTATTTAACAAGAATTTGTTGATGAATTTATAAATTGAAGATATGGAATAATGATCACATAATTTAACCTTACGTAAGAATCGTGACAAAGTTTCACGACTGTGATTACGGAGAGAAAATGTGCGTACGAATGTAATGTTTATTTTTAAACAGTAACATCTAGCTATTCATTACACACAAACGAAGCGTTTAAGAATGTTGCAAACCTGTCGAAATAGCCGTATTTTTTATTTGGTTGCTTGTTATTGCCGATCGAACAATGATTAATGTATTAGCCGGACGATGTGCCAACAACAGACAGTTAATTACATAAATTTGATACAGAAAAGAGTTCATTGTCGAATTGGAAATTGTGCGCGATGCGAGGAATGAAAAGCCGAAATTGCCAAATTTTCATGTACGAAATTGCGGCGCACCGCAAATGCATTATTTAGTGGCCGTATGGTATATATGTGTGTGATGTAATTTGAACGGTGGTTTGGAGGATGGATCGTGCTTGGCATTATATGAGTTCACTTCGTTTACAACAGCGATCAACAATGAGCAGGTGATTCCCCACCTTCGATTATTCCTCGAGAAATAATACTTTTGCTCTGTCGTACCTTATACCCCCCCCCCCATCCACGATTCTCGAGGAAAGAACGAGAAGAAGGAAAAATAAAAAAAGAAAGAAAGAAACGAACACACGTTGCTTTAAGCACCTTCACGCAATCCGGTCTTAGTTCACCTTTAGAAAGTGTACGGAGAAGTCCGCGTTTCAATCACTGCTCTAAACAACCGAGTGCGATTTTTTTTTCTACACACTTTTCGTATTTAATCTTCGGACAGAATTGGGATTGTTTTTCGATCGCACTTAATTTGGATACATTCGCATTAATTTAATTTGGATAATTCTGGTAAGTTTAAATTCCATATTGTGAGACGACTGACCCAATTCAATTACATTTTCGATTAACAAAATACCTGTTTACTGTCCGCTTGTATTTATGAAATTCCATCGAGGCGTGTTCTTTCGAAATTTCGTTATTAATCATCGCAGTTGTAAATATCAGCATTTATATTAATATACGATTTTGGAATTGTCTGAGAGACTAATTTCTGTTTCACTTGCACAAACAACACTTGACATTGAACATACGCGAATTACGTTGTTCACGTACATTTAATGTTGCTAATAATACATACTATTGTATGGTAAATTGACAACGTCCTTAGCTTATTGGTAAACATAACGTTTTCCTCTTAGCTAACCGCGAATTTAATTACCTGTAGAATTTTATTGCAAAAATGCATTTCCATTTTAAACTTTATGTAACCAGTTTTACCATTATACAAAGTTTTCTTAATTATCTAGTTCAATTCAACTAAATATATTTAGCTTCATTGGAAAATGTTGTTCTCTTAATCAAACTATTTATACTGTTTATTTATATTTTAATTGAACTGACGATAACGTTACTTGCCACGAACATGTTGTGTTTTCCGTTGGATGCAAACGAATTGTTGAAATATCTGAAATACCGTGTGTCGTTTGCATTTTAAGTTGTTTAGTGGCGACGACTACGACACTCTCTTGGAATACTAAAGAATTTCTTCAGTTTTTTCTATTTCAACACATTCTTACATAATTTAAGCAAACGACATCAGATGTAGCGTTAGACAGAGGTAACGCAAATGTGGAGCGAGAAGAAGACGCATTGTTTTATTTTCAAATAATATTTATTTTATATATTCTATATTACATAATGTTAAATTAATGTTCTAAACAGATTTTTTAAATTGAGCGGTTTGGCTAAAAGAAAATGATTTGGCAATTACACATAATTTATCTTATTGAAATCTTTCCGTTACAGGTTTCTATAAATCTCATACAATGGTAGTCATAAAAAAAATCAAGTTTACTGTCAATAAAAAAAATATTATTGTAAATAAAATGTTGAAATATTTTCGTTCCAATATATTGGGTCAAGTAAAAAGTTCTGAGTCTTTTTCGTTAGATGGCTTTAGTGAGCCATATCTCACGATGTATACGTTGAATCTTATTATTCTATACTGCGACTTAAAGACGACATAACGCTTTAAAAAAAGTTCTTTGACAGTTTTGTTTTTAGTGAATCCAGTTGTGTGTTAGAAATGTAGGTAAAAAAGAGAAAATTTGATACATTCTTCAGTATCACTAGGACCAAAAATCGACTCATTTTTGAAGCGGATGGTGACTGGCGATGAAAAATGGGTCACATACGAAAACAACAGGTGAAAAAGACCACAATTGGACCACTACAATTGTGAGCCGGCCAAAACAATCGCCAAGCCCGGATTAACGACCAAGAAGGTTTTGTTGTGTGTTTGGTAGGAGCAGGGGCTTGACGAGAAGCGTCGAGAATTGGAAGGGTATTGTGTTCCATCAAGACATCTTCAGGCCGTACAGATCTTTAAAGACGTGCCAGAAGCTCCGAGAGCTTGAAATATTTGCAAAATTTTCTTGATGGTAAGAAATTGGCCTGAAGAGAGGCTTGTGAAAATGAGCTGGACAAGTTTTTTTTTCCAATGGAGACGAGGATTTCTTCAATCGCAACATTATGAAATTGCCTTCAAAATGGACAAAAGTTTTTGAAAAAAACGGGGGCATATTTGATCTAAATCCGAAAATTTCATCGTCGAAATAAAGAGAATATATTTTTCATTTATGTTAGAATTTATTTATTTATTTTAAGAGTTGTTATTATTATTTAGTAGTTATATTATCATTTATTTATTTATTTAAATTTAGAGTGTATTTTTTTATTATTATTAAGAAATATCTATTCCAAAATCTCTCTTTTTCATAAATTATAATTAATTTATTTGAAAGTAATTAATATTTATTGAATTGCAATTACTTAATTTCATACGAGATTTTATATATTCTTGACGTTTTGGTGTTTTTATATCTTGATGGCTAGTAGTTCCTTCTTTGACTTTATTTAAAGAATAGTTATGTTCTTAATTTGGTCATAATTACTTGTCAATACTAATGAAACCTTACTTCATACATCTTTGAATACAGAGAAGAAGAAAAAAACATTTTTAACGAATTCTAATTTTATACCATTTAAGGTATTTTTGATGTAGTTAACAACTAACGCGGGAAATGTACGCGAATAAGTATAAAGCAGTTGGCGTTAACATTTCGTGCTTCTTAATTGTATAAATTAAATGTAATAAGTATTCCCTGCTCTACGCTTCCTGTTCACAAATAGAAATTTAACATTTCGTTCAATTCCTTGCGGCTTCGAATTCGTATGCACGTTGTTGCATGTTTAATTCTGCAAAAAAAATGGGCTAATTTCACTTTCTAATGTTCAATCCGATGCTCGAACATTTTTATTAATATTATAAACGGATGAAAGAACAACGTTTTTATTATATTCTTCCACAAATTTTGACTTGATTATATGTTCTTGACCGTCTATTGAAAGCCCGACGTTCGAAATCCCGAGTGTATTGAAATCCCGACTACCATAATCCCGACAGTGTCTTTTATTATTATAATTTCTACAATAACATTTTTAAATTATTCTACTATATTTTAACGTACGTTTAAGGTACGACGGATACTGAAAAAAATACTTTTAAGATCTAAATCGATGGCTCTTTTGCCCGATTATTAATTGTTGTTATTTATTCTAAACAACAATAAATAATATTAATTATTATTGTATTTTTTTTATTAAGTTTTAGATTGTCGGGTTTTCGATATAGTCGGGATTTTGATTGTCGGGATTATGGTAGTCGGGATTTTGATACACTCGGGATTTCGAACGTCGGGATTTCAATATACTCGGGATTTCGAACATCGGGATTTCGATAGTAATTCTCATCACTTTTCACTAATATTCGCTTCTTGAAACTTACATATACATTATACATAAATAAATATCCTGAAATTAAAAAAAAATACTAAAATTTATTTTATTCTAAAAAAAAATCCTTCTAAAATGGAATCTCGCATAACCAGCATTTCGCTTAAGGAGCAAAATTAGTTGTAAGAAAAATGACTCGCTTAACGAGCGACGTTTCGCATAACGAGTGACTATGCAAAGAGAAGTCCCGAATTGTGCGCCTGCATCATTTTCAAAACCTGTGTACACATATTATGTATATTTTTGAATATGTTTCACTATACGAGTAAAAATCTGGAAATTTTGGAACGTATTAAACTCGTTAAGCGAGGTTACACTGTATTTTAATATACTATACATTATTTTTGTCAGCCTCTATCTACAATCATGTAATTATATATATTGTTGCTTCTTGGACTCGATAAACATAAACCACGAAAGACATTTAAAAATACTAAGTGAAAATGCATATAACGAATGTTCATTGCTCGGCTGTAAACACTAAAAATAAATGTGCGAAATAAAGTGAAAATACTGCACCCATGCTAATTAAATGATTTTCTTTGCAAAGGAATTTAGTTAAATTTAACAGTGATTTATTTACTTTCTTGCTCATTTTATTCGCGGTATGCAAAAACTATAAATGCATCCTCAAATTGCGAGAAAAAAGTAATTCAAATGCTGACCTTTCTGGCAATGGACTTACACGAACTTAAGTCTCTCACAAAAAAAAGTCTGAGTCATTCGCCATGAAATCACCAATGGCGAAACTGGCTAGGAGAGGTTTACTTTTCTCACGATCACATTTACCTCTTGCATTTCCAGTTGCCCATAATTAAATACACTTAACTATTTACTTCAATACTTTCTGCGCACTATGATATTTCGTCATACATATATTATTGTTTATTTTGGCGCGAAAATATCAGTTTCAAAACTTCTATGTCCTACAATTTATCAATTTAAAACAAATTAAAATAGTTAATCATATTTTATATGATTTTTTCATCCAATTATGAGGTGATAATAATGTTATCTGGTATTTGCTTTGAGCAATTAAATCAATTAAATTAAATTCATTAAATAATGAGAATTAATTTGAGTTTGTTACAAAAATTAATAATTTGTTGTATTTTTTTTAAATATTTAATAAACGGGTCATTTTGACCCGTAGGTGTTTTTGTGTTAAAATAAAGTAAATTTTTGTTTTTGGTATAACTGATGCGTTTATAAATTATATAAAGTATAGGTCCAAGTACAATTCCTTGTGGTACTCCAGGCCAAAGCACTTCAAATATTATTCAATATATTTGTAAATTATGGGCGTAGTAAAATGAATGTTCAATAAACGTTCTCACGATTTTAAGTCTTTTAGTATTAAAAAAAAATGAGAATCACTTTCACATTAAAATGCGATTTAGATTCACGTCCGATGAAAAACTTATAATCGTCATAATTTATTACACGCAATTTTATGTAACAGTAACACAAGCTTCGCGATGTTCGAAACGAGGAGGACATCGCTTATGCAATTGTGGTATGCGAACAACGCACTCGTAACTAACTGTATTGTAAGTAAATTAGGCAGTTTCCATTTCATCTAGTCTTAGCTTGTAACTGTACAAATGCCGAATAGCAGGAGAAAGTTATTTAATAACTAGTTGCGCGCCGCATGCCAGAGGAAAAACTGGGTGCGTACTTACGACATTTCATCATCAGTCTGATTTATAGTGATACTGCACTTATGTAAAACCCACACATCGCACTGGATCAGGTGCCTGAAGAAGTGCGTCGAAGAACAACTCGCAGCGTATTTTCTCGCCATCGGTTATGAAATATTATTTGTGATCAGACAAATCGCTTTATTAACATTGCAAATAGAGTTTCTACACGTGAATTCATTACGCAATCAGTGCTTTACACGCGATAACGTAACAACAACATTGATGTTTGTTAAATGGACGTGATGATAAAGCCATGCATTTTCAGTGCAATGTATGTTCCTGTGTGAACCG